GGTGTCCAAATTTTTATGAAAAGAAGGTTTTGAGGTCCCTTTCTTTTATGGGCTTCCATTATGTTTAGCTGTGCTTAGTCTGTATCTCGTATTTTACACTTCAAAAAAATATTTTTTCCCATTGAATTAACATGGGGTACCAAATTTTGCGATTTTTGAGTTTTCAAAACGCCATAACTTCTGAACCGGAAGTCAAATCGAAATTTGGTTTTCAGATTCGGAATCCTGAGAAAATCTCCTATAAGACTGATATCCTGGACATTGGATTCGGAGAACTTTTTTTTGGACCTCGTTTTCGGACACTGATATCTCGAAATTGGTTTGAGATACCAAAAAACTAAATCGACCCTAGATTTTCTACTTTTTTATGAGGAACACAATGAAAAAAACCCGGATCAAAAATATTGAAGGACGACCGAGAAAATCGAAAAAAGTGACAAAGTACTGGATTTGACCTAGTTCTTGACCTTTGACCTAGATAAAAATTTGACCCAATTTCCCACCAACTAGATACTGAACCTAAATGAACTGTATAATGGTCTTTACTGGATACCTTATAGTTATTGAAAAAACTCTTAAAGAAAAATAATAACTAGACTTGGGAAATTGAACGAAGTTCAATTTCAGACTCCAGATCCAGACTTTTTTAAGCCCAGTCATCTAAAATAAGCCGAGTCATCCAGAATAAGCTGAGTCATCCAGAATAAGATAGATGGATAAAACAGGAAGGTAGGATAGGATAGAATGGGAAGGAACGATAGGATAGAATAAGAAAGAAGGTTAGGATAGAACAGAATAGGAAGAAAGGATATGATAGGAGAGGATAGGATAGGAAGGAAAGGATACGAAGGAAGGATAGGATAGGATCAGATAGGAAGGATGGATGAATTTTTCAATATTTTCTTCTCTACTCTTGACTTTCTATCAGGACACCATCAGATCGATTTTCCCAAATTTCAAAACGCCATAACTTCCGAACTGGAAGTCGGATCTAAATTTGATTTAAACATTCAGATTCCTGACAAAATTCTACCCCTAATTCATAACTCATACATTAAATTTGGCGAATTTTTATTTTGACCTACTTTTTGGACACGCCATAACTTCGGAACCGGAAGTCGGATCGAAATTTGGTTTGCAGATTCGGATTTCTGAGAAAATTCTATTCTTAATTCATAACTCAAATGTTAAATTTGGAGAACTTTTTATTTTGACCTACTTCTCGGACACCATATCTCAAAAGTGGGTCAAAATACTTTCTGACGGCAAAAGGCTAACGCTATTAGCACACTCTTGGCTACATGTATACACAATTTCGAAGAATATAATTAAAGTGTAGTGTCAGAATCGCAAAAATAAGAAAAAACTTTGAATTTGACCTAGATTTTGACCTAGGCATTTTGGTGTCCAAATTTTACAGCTAGATGGCTTTTGAGGTCTCATTCTTTTAAAAGCTTTCATTATATTTAGCTGAACTTAGTCTATATTTCGTATTTTTCACTTCAAAAAAATCTTTTTTCCCATTGACTTAACATGGGCTCAAAATTTAGCGATTTTTGAGCTTTCAAAACGCCAGTACTTCAGAACCGGAAGTCTGATCTAAATTTCGTTTTCAGATTCGGAATCCTGAGAAAATTTCCTATAAGACTAATATCCTGGACATTTGATTCGGAGAAATTTTTTTTGGACCTCGTTTTCGGACACCGATATCTCGAAATCGGTTTGAGATATCAAAAAACTAAATCGACAATCTTAATACTACTTTTTTATCAGGAACACAATGAAAGAAAAATGGATCAAAAATATTGAAGGACGACTGAGAAAATCGAAAAAAGTGACAAAGTACTGGATTTGACCTAGTTCTTGACCTTTGACCTAGATAAAAATTTGACCCAATTTCCCACCAACTAGATACTGAACCTAAATAAACTGTATTATGGTCTTTACTGGATACCCCATAGTTACTGAAAAAACTCCCGAAGAAGAATAATAATAAGAATAAGAATACTGGCAAAAACAATAGACTCCAGATTTTCAATCTGGAGTCTAATAAAAAAAAACTCCAAGGAAACAGACACACACCAATACCTTAACTTTAAATCATGTCATCCCAGACATACAAAATTAAACGTCCCATGTAACTTAGCGAGACGAATAGTATGCATTGTCTCCGAACGTGAAACACGAGAATTACAATTGAAACAACTCAAGGATCATTAAATAACATTGGATTATCCGTCAAAAATAATGGATGACACAATACGAAAAGCACCAATGCTAAACAGGACAGAAATATTGAATACAGTTAAAAAGAAAAAAACTAGGGAGAATACTTTAACATTCATCGCAACTCATAATCCACAAAATTGAAGTATGTTTCCGCGAAGAATGGAACACGTCAATAATATGAGGGAAACGATGAGAGAATGGATTATGTACTCAAAAACAAAAATAATATGCAGTCGCAGACAACCGAAAAACATCAAATCAATTGTAACCAAATCGCAATATATATCGTCTAGCCTTGACATTGACCATATTCAACAAACCGTTAAAAAATGCGGGGATAAACGATGTTTATGTTGTGAACATTTGCATGAAGAGGGCATCTATCTATCAATGTAACTAAAACAAAACGTAAAGTACAGACGCCAAATAATCAAAGAGGCTGGAGGCAAACTCCGTGGCAGTGCTAGTTTTCAACATATTCTATTCCGAGGCACTATTGACAAATTTATAACCTAAAAGGCCGACAGATTATGCGGTAAATATTGAAACAGGGGTTGTCAACATATTGTATTAGCTTCGATCTCTTAGAATCCGTTGAATCCTAAGCGATTGGAGTTGTTTAGATCAGTTAACAAATGATATGAAATGATGAGGATTTGAGTTTTTTCAAAGTTTATAATGGCGGCCAATGGGGGATTTTAGCAAAATATCCCGAAAATTAAATCATTAAAAGGCCGAAAGATCTATGGATGGATTTTGCTGATTTATATATCAAAACGAACACTTCGTTGGGTGTAACAAGGATCCGTTGAATCCTCAGAAAATAAATAATTTGCTAAAATATTATTATTATTTTAAATTTTGATGAAGACTGCTCTCCATTGAAATCTTTGGACCATGAAATGTCTATTTACGCACATGCGTTGTGACGTTATTTCCATTAATCTACGATGTGATGAAAAAGCAAAAAGGATACTTGAACATGTTCGTTAAAGATCACTTTTTACTCATAAAAACCTTAATGAATTTTGAAACTAAATCATTACATTGTTTAATATTTTATCTCATGAATTTCAACTACAGGGACAACGTATATTCGGGTTGACAACACACATTTCTGAATTTTTTAAATTTCAATAAATACTTGAATATTTATTAATTGCACCCGTCCTAAATTGTGTAGCTTAGAGAATCATATTCTCATGAAAATATTCGACATTCTTAGACGACAGGCGAGGAAATGATCAAAGGAAATATTTGAAAAACAACATTTTTCAAACGACAAACTATATGGGTAGATTGACTACGAAAAAATCGAGCACTGTTTGAAAATCGTTTAACGTTACAAGAAAGTTAAGTGTCTTCCCAAACGAATACACACGAAATCAAACTTGAAATCGTTAATGTATTGCTCAGATAATTTTTTTAAAACCTACATCATCATATTTGCTTTAAATCGGTTAATAGTGACACCGTACATCTAAAGTGTACTACGGTATATTTTGTCACTGTGCGTTGTCCATGGTTAGGCGTGTAATGGTACGAATATTGATGCAATAATTACACTATACTATGTTTTGAGACTTAAACTGATTGATAGATTCTATCACCTGATAGCAGGCAAAAACGCCATTGCGCAGGTCTGATATTGGAATTCTCACAGAATATGAAACTGATCTCTTTAATAGATTGAAACAACTTTATTATTGAAACAACTTTATATTAAGTTCTTCAGAAAAAGCAAAATCTTATAAAGCTATAATATAAACCAGAGAGATGAACTTACTACAACGACCTCTCGTTAATGATACCATTAGGCTACTTTGAGAAAGGACCATGTGCAGTATTTTTTGAAAAATGGTGAACCTATTTACTCAAAAGAGGATCTCCCTTTCACTGTTTTTTATTGCATGAAAAGATTATTCAACAAGGGTATAAATCTTCTTCAAACATGTCAAAAGTAGAATGGTATTGAAAGTCTAGTTTTGAAGATATCAATTTTCGATTACAAAAATTATGCTGAAAACAATGGATAGCACGAGTTTTCCCTATGGGAAAATAACATGGGATATGTGGTTTTTAACTTAAACGGATTTCAATACGCATCCCCTTTTCAGAAATATAGTGAAGAAGAAACTTTCAATATGTTTAAATTGAGAAAACCAAGATCCTCTTTTTAGAAAATGAGCCTAACATTTTTTTTAAAAATGCCAATCCTTATCGATAATTTTTCAGAGAGTTAGATTGATATTTTACTATCATTTGAAAGAAAACATATTGTTTTAATAAAAAACAATGTATTTATGACCAGAAAGTACCCATGGTGAAAGATATGACCGTCTAAAATCACTTGCCCATGGACCTTTGCACTAAATTGGAGTTATTAAAGGCCAACTGAAATAGTGATTTAAACTTAAAGGACGAATCAATTTAATAATAAGCGAAAATACTTGTCAAAAAAGTGTGACGTTTGTTGGAGCGACACCCGATATAATATCAAAAATTACTTTATGTGAATTGTCAAAACCTTGTATGTAGAAAATGTCTTCATCTGAGGCAAAATCTTAATTCAGATATTTAGAAACTTATTTTTCTAGAAAAGTTTGGCCCGATATTAGCCCCCCCCCCCCATTAGGAGTCCCACGTACTGTTTCAGACACCTTGCTACGGTTCTAAATGGACCCTCCCCCAGAATAAAGACTAAAAAGAACGTGTGCGAGCCAGAGCAAAATATAATCTACATTGAATGAAATATGTTTTTCTTATCTTACTTTCTGATGGTCCCGACATCCTTGCATATAAGCCCCTGCTCACAAGGGCAAAGTTCGTTAAGAGTATAATCCAATCCCCCTTTTGGAACATAGCACTTATGGTAAAGTTTTATGCGTTTTTTGCAAATGTGTTCTCCGTGCTGCTTCGCACAGCACATTGTGTTATTGCAGTCACGGTCGTGTTTACACCGAGCACCTGGAATTCAGAAGATTTCATTTGTGAAGTGTGAAAGTCATTTCTGTTAAACCGCGACATATACCCACTAGGGTGTCTAACGGCTTGTTTTTTATAGTGTATATTATATAAGAATTATGAAATAAATAAACCAGGTCATAAACCAGGTCATACTTCATGAAAAGAATTACAAAAATCATACAGCAAATCAATAATTGCTGTATGATTTTTGTAATTCTTTTCATGAAGTACGGAAAGCTATAGGGACCTGCGCATAATTCAAAATCGAATGGAGTTTTAACATGAGAGTGATATCATACACCGCGGCCCAGTCAGATAGATTTCATCGCGCACTGAATGAATTACAGGGGCCGCGTTGTGCAAAGTTAATTAAAATAAAGTGCGCAGAAATTCCGGCATTCAGTGCGCGATGAAAAAATTATTATCTGTGAATTACGGAAAGCTACGGAAAGCTATAGGGGACATGCGCATAATTCAAAATCGAATGGAGTTTTAACATGGGAGTGATATCACACACCGCGGCCCAGTCAGATAGATTTCATCGCGCACTGAATGAATTACAGGGGCCGCGTTGTGCAAAGTTAATTAAAATAAAGTGCGCAGAAATTCCGGCATTCAGTGCGCGATGAAAAAATGATTATCTGTGAATAAAAAACGAATAAAAATTCGTGGCACCACGAATTTGATTTTTTTCGAAAGACTGCGGAGTGAACCAGCGAAATGACAATTTTGGACAATATTGATGGCTCTAACGAGGAGAACTTTGAGATTTCCCGATTCTAGCGCGCAGCACATCCAGGACATGCGCACTTTTATCAGATTCGATTCTAATATGGTTTCAAAGATAATGTTCATTAAAAGAGGGCGTATGCATACAGATTACACGTGGCGTTACGTTGAAGTGACCCTTGCAAAGGGTTCCATTGAAAATATATTATTTTGGGCCATTTCATATCTTTTAATTGATATTGTATAAAATATTTTCAATGTCTGAAAATTATAATCTTATAAATAACATTTTATGTAATAAAACTGTAACGAAATGGTAAATACGGAATATGATGCAATACAATGCAGTGCAATATGATGTTATACAATGCAGTGCAATATGATGCAATACAATGTGGTGCAATATGATGTAATACAATGCGGTGCAAAATGATGCAATACAATGCAGAGCAATATGATGCAATACAATGCAGTGCAATATGATGCAATACAATGTATACAGATGTATACATTCAGTGCGCGATGAAAAAATGATTATCTGTGAATAAAAAACGAATAAAAATTCGTGGCACCACGAATTTGATTTTTTTCGAAAGACTGCGGAGTGAACCAGCGAAATGACAATTTTGGATAATATTGATGGCTCTAACGAGGAGAACTTTGAGATTTCCCGATTCTATCAGATTCGATTCTAATATGGTTTCAAAGATAATGTTCATTAAAAGAGGGCGTATGCATACAGATTACACGTGGCGTTATGTTGAAGTGACCCTTGCAAAGGGTTCCATTGAAAATATATTATTTTGGGCCAATTCATATCTTTTAAGTGATATTGTATAAAACATTTTCAATGTTTGAAAATTATAATCTTATAAATAACATTTTATGTAATAAAACTGTAACTGAAATGGTAAATACGAAATATGATGCAATACAATGCAGTGCAATATGATGTAATACAATGCAGTGCAATATGATGCAATACAATGTGGTGCAATATGATGTAATACAATGCGGTGCAATATGATGCAGTACAATGCAGAGCAATATGATGCAATACAATGCAGTGCAATATGATGCAATACAATGTAGTGTTATATGATGAAATACAAAGCAGTGTAATATGATGCCAAAAATGCAGTGCAATATGATACAATACAATGTAGTGCAATATAATACAATAAAATGCAGTGCAATGTAATACAATGCAAAACAATGTCGTGCAGTGCAATGCAATGTAGTTCATTTCAATATAATGCAGTGCAATACAATGTGGTACAGTGCAATACAATGCAGTGCAATACAATACATCGCAGTTCAATACAGTGCAATACAATGTAGTGCAATGCAGTGCAATAAAATACAATACAGTTACAATGTAGTTCATTTCAATACAATGCAGTGCAATACAATGTGGTACAGTGCAATACAATGCAGTGCAATACAATACATCGCAGTTCAATACAGTGCAGTGCAATACAATACAGTGCAATACAATACATCGCAGTTCAGTGCAGTGCAATACAATACAGTGCAATACAATACATCGCAGTTCAATACAGTGCAATACAATGTAGTGCAATAAAATACAATGCAGTGTAATAAAATGCAGTGTAATTCAAGACAATGTGCAACAAGACTGTGCAATACAATACAGTGCCATATAATACAATGCAGTGCACTGCAGTGCAATACAATATGGTGCAGTTCAATATATTGCAGTGCAATACAAAACAATGCAGTGTAATACAATGCAGTGCAACACAATGTGGCACAGTGCAACATATTATAATGCAGTGCAATACAATACAATGCAGCGCAATACAATGTAGTACACTGCAGTACAATACAATGCAGTGCAATAAAGTACAATGCAGTGCAATATAATACAGTGCAATACAGTACAATATAATACAATGCAGTGCAATACAATACAATGCAGTGCAGTGATTTTGAACGAATATTTGGCAAGGGGGAGGGTGGTGAGGCCCCCTGGCTACGGCCCTGGAATACATATAGGAACTTTCCTTCTCCCAGAAGAAATGGTATACAGGTATTACATCAATCATTCTGGTATTTTGTATACGAAGGTCTGTAGTACACACTTTATTGAAAGATGGCAGTGTACACTGTGTACTACCATTTTGAGGTCAGTTTGACTTTATAATTCTGCGCACTATAATCTGTAATTCTCATAGATATCCTCTCTAGAGGCATCACTGTGATCCAAATTACAATTTCGCAGGTCAAGTCTGCAGTCTTTCGAAAAAAGTTGAATTCGTTGTGCTACCCTTTCTTGTTGGGCATTTATTAACAGAAAACTATATTTACATCGCGCCAGCATATACAAGCTTCAGCGCGATATTTTGAGTGTGTTAATATTCTGGCTAAATAAATAAAGTGAGCAGTATGGAAAGCGAAAGGGGATATACCGCAGAGTTTAAAATTCAAGGGAGTTTTAACATGGGAGTGATATCACACACCGCGGCCCAGTCAGATATATTTCTGCGCACTTTATTTATTTAATTCACTTTGCACAACGCGCCCCCTGTAATTCATTCAGTGCGCAATTAAAAATTGTTTATGAGTGATGATCGCACACCGCGGCCCAGTAAGATCGATTTCTGCGCACTTTATTTATTAACACACTCAAAATATCGCGCTGAAGCTTGTATATGCTGGCGCGATGTAATTATAGTTTTCTGTTAATAAATGCCCAACAAGAAAGGGTAGCACAACGAATTCAACTTTTTTCGAAAGACTGCAGACTTGACCTGCGAAATTGTAATTTGGATCACAGTGATGCCTCTAGAGAGGATATCTATGAGAATTACAGATTATAGTGCGCAGAATTATAAAGTCAAACTGACCTCAAAATGGTAGTACACAGTGTACACTGCCATCTTTCAATAAAGTAACTACAGACCTTCGTATACAAAATACCAGAATGATTGATGTAATACCTGTATACCATTTCTTCTGGGAGAAGGAAAGTTCCTATATGTATTCCATGGCCGTAGCCAGGGGGCCTCACTCCCTCCCCCTTGCCAAATATTCGTTCAAAATCATGCAGTTTTTCACCATTCTTAGCACTTTTCACATGATTTTTTTGCCATAACTGTCAAAAAGCTCCCCCCTCTTGGCAAAATCTCACCCTTGGTAAAACCACTCCCCCAGGTTAATCCAGGATACGGGTCTGTATTCTTAGACGAGATTGTTCAAGAACATAAGGTAGACATAAGTGCCACCTGTTAAAAGCTAGGAGATCTTTTCTAAGTTATTAAGTCATTAATCAGCAGACTGGTAATTGTATCCCCCACCCACTTCAAACTCCATACACTAACATACTATTACAATTTTATCTGTGTTTATTTGACTGTAGAAGGTGTACATTCATAGCATTGCATTGCATTGCATTGTATTGTATTGTATTGTATTGTATTGTATAGCACATCATTGTATTGTATTGTACTGCATTTTATTGTATTGCACTGCATTGTATTCTATTGCATTATATTGTACTGTATTGCACTGTATTATATTATATTGCACTGCATTGTTCTTTATTGCACTGCATTGTATTGTACTGCAGTGTACTACATTGTATTGCGCTGCATTGTCTTGTATTGCACTGCATTATAATGTATTGCACTGTACCACATTGTGTTGCACTGCATTCTATTACACTGCATTGTTTTGAATTGCACTGCAATATATTGCACTGCACCATATTGTATTGCATTGCAGTGCACTGCATTGTATTATATTGCACTGTATTGTATTGCACAGTATTGTATTGCATTGTCTTGAATTACACTGCATTTTATTACACTGCATTGTATTTCATTGCACTGCATTGTATTGTACTGCAGTGTACTGTATTCTATTGCACAGCATTGTTTTGTATTGCACTGTATTGTATTGCATTGTATTGAATTGCACTGTATTGTATTGTATTGCACTGCATTACACTACATTGTATTGCACTGTATTGAACTGCAATGTATTGTATTGCACTGCACTGAACTGCGATGTATTGTATTGCACTGTATTGTATTGCACTGCACTGTATTGAACTGCGATGTATTGTATTGCACTGCATTGTATTGCACTGTACCACATTGTATTGCACTGCATTGTATTGAATTGAACTACATTGTAACTGCATTGTATTTTATTGCACTGCATTGCACTACATTGTATTGCACTGTATTGAACTGCGATGTATTGTATTGCACTGCATTGTATTGCACTATACCTTGTGTTGCACTGTATTGTATTACACTGCATTGCTTTGTATTGCATAGTATTGTATTGCATTGTCTTGGTTTACACTGCATTTTATTACACTGCATTGTATTTTATTGCAGTGTAATGTATTGTATTGCACAGCATTGTATTGTATTGCACTGTGTTGTATTGCATTGTATTGAATTGCACTGTATTGTATTTTATTGCACTGCATTGCACTACATTGTATTGCACTATATTGAACTGCGATGTATTGAATTGCACTGCATTGTATTGCACTCTACCACATTGTATTGCACTGCATTGTATTGAAATGAACTACATTGTATTGCACCACACGGCATTGTTTTGCACTGTATTGTATTGCACTGCATTGTATTGCATTATATTGCACTGTATTGTATTGCATCGTATTGCACTGCATTTTATTGTATTATATTGCACTACATTGTATTGTATCATATTGCACTGCATGTTTTGCATCATATAACACTGCTTTGTATTGCATCATATTACACTACATTGTATTGCATCATATTGCACTGCATTGTATTGCATCATATTGCACTGCATTGTATAACATCATATTGCACTGCATTGTATTGCATCATATTCCGTATTTACCATTTCATTACAGTTTTATTACATAAAATGTTATTTATAAGATTATAATTTTCAAACATTGAAAATATTTTATACAATATCAATTAAAAGATATGAAATGGCCCAAAATAATATATTTTCAATGGAACCCTTTGCAAGGGTCACTTCAACATAACGCCACGTGTAATCTGTATGCATACGCCCTCTTTTAATGAACATTATCTTTGAAACCATATTAGAATCAAATCTGATAAAAGTGCGCATGTCCTGGATGTGCTGCGCGCTAGAATCGGGAAATCTCAAAGTTCTCCTCGTTAGAGCCATCAATATTATCCAAAATTGTCATTTCGCTGGTTCACTCCGCAGTCTTTCGAAAAAAATCAAATTCGTGGTGCCACGAATTTTTATTCGTTTTTTATTCACAGATAATCATTTGATCATCGCGCACTGAATGCCGGAATTTCTGCGCACTTTATTTTAATTAACTTTGCACAACGCGGCCCCTGTAATTCATTCAGTGCGCGATGAAATCTATCTGACTGGGCCGCGGTGTGTGATATCACTCCCATGTTAAAACTACATTCGATTTTGAATTATGCGCATGTCCCCTATCGCTTTCCGTAGAGCAGAAATCGATCTTACTGGGCCGCGGTGTGCGATATCACTCATAAACAATTTTTAATCGCGCACTGAATGAATTACAGGGGGCGCGTTGTGCAAAGTGAATTAAATAAATAAAGTGCGCAGAAATATATCTGACTGGGCCGCGGTGTGTGATATCACTCCCATGTTGAAACTCCATTGAATTTTAAATTCTGCGGTATATCCCCTTTCGCTTTCCGTAATAAAACACACAATACTATCACATTTTTAAACGTTCCCTGATACATAAGTGGTATTTACCTTCAGTTTTTAACTGTTTTCTTTTTTTACATTTTCCAAACATACAATCAAACCCTCTCATGCAATGTCCGTCTCGCCTGCACGTTTCCCCGGCTACTCTATGAAGGTGGCAGAATCCGTAATGTCGGTCACAAAACCTTCCTCTTCCACAGCCTTTGTCAGTTCGGCAAGGCTAAAATGGAAAGTACAAGTTAAATATGTTGATAAAAGATAAAACAATCACCACCCGGATATACCATGCAACTAGGCAGATAGAGGGTAGTTCATAACTAGACTCTGCGCGCCGGGTAGTTTCAACAAAGAATCGCCTTTGAAAAACGGTGCCCTTTCTGTGATAACACTGCCATGCGTCTTGTTTTTCCAAAAAAGACGCGTGGAGAGTACAGGATGTCATCTTGATTCACAAGGTTTTATTTGCTACAACTTGTTTACCTTCGACGTCGAAGCCTATGGCTGATAGGAAGGATGTCCTGCCAAGTAATATCGACCTATAGGTTCCACCAAGATAATGACCTGCTCACAGATCCTCTATTGTCCAAAATACAATAACAGAGCTTGGGATGGAAGTATTGCCCCACGCAGCATATTCCCCAGATAATTTCCCACTTGATTTTGCTGTATTCGCCCCACCAGTGAAAAGAGATCTGAGAGGACACCAGAATCTCAATCAACTGATGTCTGCAGTGAACACCTCCCTAGCCACTTCAAGGGTGGCTTCAAAAATATGTTCCACAAGTGGGTCCCCAAACAGCAACTGTGCATTGACGCTGAGGGTGCCTATTTTGAGACACCTCATGAAGTGAAAACGGATCATGAAGTGACTCTGGAATGGATTATTTGTAACTGCACTGAATATCCAAAGAGTATTACATGATACTGTTGTCAATACTCAAAATGGCGTCCAAAGTGACGTCAGAACTTTGCCTCGCATATCCATGACACTGGTTACTTTAGTAACCATAACTTTACTAATATTAATTCAATTGACTTGAATTCATTTATTGGTCTTTATTGGTCAGAGTCAGATATATGTACCTTATGTTGTGAAAGTTCCATGAAGAAAAAGCAAACAGAACAAAAGTTATACTAAAATTAGCATTACTTTATTGTTTACATTATTGAACGCCCTGTAAAATATGGGTGTGACTCGAAACAAGCCTTTAACAGTGAAAAAGGTGAAAAATAATAGTCATGTGAAGCATTAGATATTGATGTAATTTTACAATCACATATAACTTATTTGATTTACTCCTGCTACTGTGAAAGGGGTAGTACATATGGAGCGATTTTTTGGCACGGTTGCTTTATATAAAGAGTAGCAATCAGTGATCATTTGAGGAAAGTTTCACGATTTGTTCAGCAAACGGCGATTGCTTTACACTATTTATCCCGCTAGTTGTCAAATGAATAAACCAAGGTTTTAAAGAATCTTAACATTGCATCAATGGAGATATGGCCGAAGTTCTTTTTGAAATTTAATGGAAAATGATTTAGATCAAGGTTATTATTGTGGAATATTTTTCATTGAATTAAAACATGCTATTAAAAGAAAGAAAAGTGTAAGAGGTTAAAAGTGAGTATCATTTAAAATCTCATAAAAAACGACAATTAGCGAGATTTCAAAGCTAAATGGAAACTCCTCTAAGCTGAGGTAAGTTGACCCGTTTATCAATATGTCATAACATATGTTTAACATGAAATATAACACATGAGAAAACTGTAAACAAACAAGAACTTACGCTCTTACAAATTAAATGTCTGTTTTGTAACGATGGTGGCCTAGTGGCCTAAACTTTGCTGGTGTTGCCCGGTCAGAGTTTTATTTTCATTTTGATATTTTACAACAAAATAATTAAGTGATCATCTGGTTATTTCGCATCCCCCCCCAAAAAAAACAGACTCATTATGTGTTTAGAATAAGCCTTCCATTTTATGTGCAGTATATCGGGGGTTGTAATTGGGATGAAGAAACCAATAGATTTGCCTGATTTAAATCTTGTTTGCGAATTTGCGTTTGTATTATTTACACGGGCAAGTGAGACCACACAGTCATTTCAAGTTACTACTGAATTGATACCGCGTTTCCCAATTGTTCATGTCAAAAGTACTTGTGCGTGCCAATGGGAATGGGGATTAGCGTGTTCCAAGTGACCCTAAATGGTTTTTGAAGAGGGATAACGGGGCTCTGACACTGACACCCTATACATGCTCCACTGGCCAATATCAATGTTTCTCTTGTTGGGAATCGGTAGGCTAAAATAGCACTAGATGCCATTACATTAATAACAGACATTCTACCACCACACTATGGGTAAAAATTATTTAAAATGATATAGTGTTTTGAAATAATGTAAAATCATGATATTTGATACCAATTGATAATTGGATCTGATTATGTATAATAAACAGTAATGTTTTTACGCGGTAGTATAATTAATACTCATAATAGAACAATCAATTACGAGTTAGAGCAATTATTTGAAGTCAGTGACAATTTTCACAAAATGCAAAAAGATCCTGTTTTCCAAGTAGATATAATTGAACCCGGGTTATTGAACAAGCAGCCGCGTTTAATTGGATATTCATTTGTCCCTAATAGTAATTATCGTTGAAGGGCAATATGTATTCATCCGGAGCCAAAGCACTATAGGGTGAATTGTAATTAAGAGAATCCTTACCTCGATCCTTCTTGTTGTGCTCTCTATAATTGTGTTCGAAGTTGTAACAAGTCTATGAGTATTCCTGGGGTGATTGTCCAAATCGTCAAAGTTCTCAGAGTTAAACGGATTGCTTATTACCCAATTCCAAATTGATCCTTTTACCGGGAAGATGTTGCATAGCAACGCCGCAAGGAAAAGCACGGTGAACGCTGCAGAATCCATGGTTGGTTGATTATGCTCAGTATTGCACTAAAATATAATTTCTAGATATTTTTTCAGTTTTTCATGAATTTGATTATTGTTGTTCAATCTAAATGTTTATGAAATCCATAGATGGTCATGTGTTTCCGATGCAATGATTATGAACAGTGATTGCTGGATGATATCCGGGGTTTATATACATATGCATTGGGCAACATCTTTACGTGGCATGAAGTGGCATGTACTGAACCCACCAGCGCATAAGATGCCCACCTGGCCATGCTTCTTCCATTCATCTCTTGCTGATATCGAATAAATTGCAAACAATCTGGCATACTTTTATAAAATCGCTGATGATTTTTCTTCATGAACTCCAATTGAGCCGCCTGTTAATTCCTAATTGCGTTTCTCATTATTTTGCATTTAATTCATGAACATATCGTTACCACTTTAAGTACGAGTAGATCTGACATGGAGAGGGTCTGTAGAAAGAAGGGCCTGGTAAGGGGGCGTGTCAGACATACAATTGCCACATTACTTGACAAACATCTTACAAGCCAATCAATGGATTGCGATTTCAAAATACAGAACAATCAATCGTCTAACAATATACAAAACACATTCTGGCAGAATGATCTAACAAACAGGTGTCATTTATATTGTTGGAAAGATACAGTATTGCAACGACATTAATGTGTTTAACGTCGGTGCTGCCAGTGCCATTTCAGACATTCACGGAAGATGTCACTTATCAATAGGGACATGCACGGCTGTCATTGTGGCCGTGGCATTGGCTTTATTATATTTTACGTCTTTTGCCCTGAGAATGGATAAAAATGAATGAAGGATGCACCGTGACATTTCTAGATTGTGTATACTTAATGTCATAGTATTAGCTTTCATAGCACTAGCCAGTCGGACCATAGCCTGCATAAAGATCATACCCAAACCGTAGTTGTGTGAAACACTCAATGCAGTAGGTGGCATTTTGGTCTCTATATTTTCAATTTTTGATCTTACTTGAATGTTAGTCAAGTCAAAATAAAAACGAGACTCTGGGCGTCAGGCAATACATTTCCCTTCGGTGGCAAGACTTAGGAACTTCAAAATAAAACTAAACAGAGGAAAAAAGTATTGCATCACGATCCGATAAATCAAATTACTTTATTCTTTTACGATGGTATCAGTGTGTGCTATGACAGTGGGAAGAACTGTTTTGATAGCTATGGAATGTAGCTATGGATGGAATGTATATATCAACGTTTGTCGAGTGTCAATATATGAAAGTAAGTTGTGAAGTGGCACTTAAGTCTGACAAAACTGCCACAAAAATAACAAACTGACAACCACTAAATAAAGAGCATTTTTTACGCTTCATTGTAATGTTTTTTCCTCACGTGGTGATCTGAAAGTACGCTGACACAAACTGATTGTGTTAGCATTTTGACTTGTGCCTGGAGAAAAACTCAATAGTCATAATATTCTGTATTGACAAAATGCAAACAAAAATATACTGTTTAATTGGAGTTAGAATCGAAATGATTGCATACAGATTGAAAAGATTTTTGAATCATTTTAAGTTTTTCTGTTATCGGCAAGAGTGGCATATGTAAAGCCTAGTGTCACCAATGGATGGGTTGCCTCTGATAAAGGAAATCAAAACTTTAGTCGCCTCAGGTGACACAAATGACAGGTGACTGTTTTATACGTTTCTACAAATTCTTCAAATACTGTAGCGCCGCTGAAAAATAATGATGATACTTTCGTTGGGTGCTTTGAAATAAACAGGCCCTATAAACAGGCCCGTAGCCGGGGGGGGGGGGGCTCGGGGGACTCGTGCAAGCCCCCCCCCCCCTCCCCTGATATCTCCTAAAAATGTGGATCTACCTTTTTGCTTTCTTGAAGAATTTCCTTACATTTCGAAGTAGGAGGTATTTTGATGTAATTGCCAATTTCTTTTTATAAAATTCTAAATTAACTAGAATGGCACGGCAACTAAATGATTCGTTTGTTGTATCTGAGACTAACATAACCTGAGACTAACATAACCTGAGACTAACATAAAAATATTATATATTTTATGTTAGCCTCAGGTTGTATTTAATTGGAAAGTTCTTTTTATGGATAGTATGTGTTTAAAGTGGAAGATCTTGCACACAAACAAAGGTCAAACTTCAAAATTGGCGTAGCTAAATATACGCAGAATATGCAGTCGAGTTCTTTTAAGAGTCGAGACCAAACGTGTAAATGGAAATTAATCATAGATTTTGATCCTTTAATCGCTCAGAACGCGCCAAATAAGCCTAAAAATCCAATTTTTTAAACAAATCATATATATATTGATTCTAGAATCGACCAAAATATACTCCTCAAAAAAGGTAAGGACCAGTGGTTTTCCTCATAGGTTTACATGTTACACTCCCCTCCATAAGTTTGGCAACCTTTTTTCCCCCATTGAACTACGTGTTAAAGCCTATTTACCTTTGAATTTTTATTCTCTTAACCTGCGATGAAAATATTTATATTAAATATGGAAACGTAATTTGACTTTAATTCCAATACCTCCAAATTTTCTCAATTTTTTTCCTCAATTACAATAGGTCGAAAATTGATGATAAATTTGATGAATTTTTGAAAATCGACATTCCCATGTTAACCAATGGGAAATGGTAGGTTTGCCGCAAGTCATATGACTGAATATCCATCCATCCGAGTCCTTGCAAAAAATACGAGTTAGGCAGGCAATTGAATTTGCTAACTTTATTTGACAAAAAAATGATATGTTTCATCAGGTTCAACAAAGTTGTAGGGCTTTAAAGTCAAAATTGTTTTTCAAAAAACATCTCCCATTGAAATAACACAGGAGCCAAAAAATTATTTTCAAAAATGACTTTGAAGCGCTGTAACTTTAATATTCATCAAATAAGCTAAACACTTAGTGTTCAAAAAAGTTAGACAATTCAATTCTCTATATAAAAATATTTTTTGCTGAATCTTTTACTGAAAAGATATCTCGATTTCTGATTTGCCCCGAACCCTCCATTTCCCATTGGATTACATGGGAATGACGATTTTCAAAAATTCATCAAATTTATCATCAATTTTCGACAATTTGTAATTGAGGAAAAAAATTGAGAAAATTTGGAGGTATTGGAAATAAAGTCAAGTTACGTTTCCATTAATATTATAAGTTATTTCATCGCCGGTTAAGTAAATAAAAATTCAAAGATAAAGAGGCCTTAACACATAGTTCAATGGGGAAAAAGGTTGCCAAACTTAAGGAGGGGAGTGTAACTCCCATATTTGTTTGAACGACTATTTTCTAAGCGGGGAACAAAAGAAATCCCAAATAAAGAAAATAAATCTGTATCTTGATTCTATTCCCTATAAAGTCCGCAACATTTCAATGATATATCTCCATTACATTGGGTCAAAATTTGATGTCAAAATTGATGAATGTCATGAAATTTCAAATTTAGCAATTCTTTTAAGGATCCTCTTATTGAAATAACACAGGTGGTCAGTGAGGTGGTTAAAATTACTCTATATCGCTAATTTTACCAATATAAGCTAGACATTTAGCATGTAAAATGTAAAACCATTCGATTTTCTACTCAGAAAGTTTTTTCAACAAATGTTTCACTGGATAGATATCCCAAAATTTGAGTTGCCCCTAAGCCACCATTCCCCATTTGTTTAACATGGGATCTGCCATTTTTGTTAAATTTCATGAAATTCATCAATTTTGACATCAAATTTTGACCCAATGTAATGGAGATATAACATTGAAATGTTGCGGACTTTATAGGGAATAGAATCAAGATACAGATTTATTTACTTTATTGGGATTTATTTTGTTCCCCGCTAAGAAAAAAGTCGTTCAAACAAATATGGGGGTTAACATGTAAACCTATGAAGAAAACCACTGGTCCTTACCTTTTTTGAGGAGTATATTTTGGTCCTCGCATCGCTCAGAACGCACTTATCAGCCCAAAAATCTTAAATTTTTCAGGGGAGCATGCCCCTGATTTCTTTTTTAATAAATCATATATTTTTATTCTAGAATCGCTCAGAACATGTCAAATAAGCCTAAAAATTCGACGTAAAATGTTTTGATTCCTAGAACGATCTGGGCACCAGAATCGCCCAGAACGCGCCAAAAAAGCCTAAATACGTAAATCATATATTTTGTTCCAAGAATCGCTCAGAACTCGCCAAATAAGCCTAAAAATTCAACTTTTTTGAAATACGTAAATCATATAGGCTTATTTTGATCCTAGAATCGCCCAGAACGCACTGAATTAGCCCAAAATTTTCCGGGGGAGCATGCCCTCTGGCTACGTCCCTCATAAGCTATTTGTTCCATCTAAATCAACTATATAGTCATTTTTATTAACAACATTAGGGCATTGCTGGGCATTTTTCAAAATTTGGGCCCTAATTTTACTCTACGCAAGCGCTGAAATTTTTGGGTCCCCTCTCTTGTTTTCGTGGCCACCCCTGGTGTCTTGTTAATAACAGCCGAGCCCCCCCCCCCTAACCAAAACCTGGCTACGGTCATGATAAAGAACCATTGTCAGTTAGCGGGGACAAGTTTTGTCGTTTATTGTCTTTATACAAACTGAAAGCTTTCGACTGTCATATTAACCTCTTGAATCACAGGCTCTAAAATCGGCTGAAACCAGAGATTTTTTTCATTTTTGCCACCTTTTGACATTATACTACATACCTATACAGCTACAGATGCTCAACTTAGTAATATTAGACGGCAGAGATCATTTCTACACATTTTTAAAAAAAATTGAGTAAATTGGATGAAAATTGTTCAAATAAGAGCATTTTTAGTGAAAAATTTTGTGACGGATATTCTCGTCACTTTGGGTTTCAAGGTCATTTCTGAGGTGACGAGAAATCTCGTCACTCCAGGTAGTCAAGAGGTTAAGGACCCGGATTAAGACTGGCTTTATAAAAGTTAATAGAAGCACACCAGGTGATCGGTAATATGGGAATCATAGTGATTGCATAACGATTGAAAAGATTTTTGAATCATTAAATTTTCTGTAATCGGCAAGAGTGGCATGTGTATATTTTGATTTTTTTTGTTTATTTTAAAAAGCACTTCAAATCAGGTATATCTTTACAATTTTTCGTTGCAGATATAGACAAAAAGGCAGATTTGAATTATTAGCACATTTTCCTCTTGGTCACATTTTTGTCTCTGTAGCACAATTTTAATGTTTGTGATAAGTTTTACCTTGGAATAAAATCACCACGGCTCATGATATAATAGTAGGCCTATTGTGAATCAGTGATACCATGCACGAAATGCATGATGATTGGCCTTATTGTTGTTCTCAAATATCATGACGTCATAATATCCGTTGCTAGTGAAGAATTCATCTTCAAAATGAAAACTGTTTATTGGTCGCTGTTTTTATGTTCTCTCGTGGTTATCATACTAAAACCAGGTAAGAAACAAAACATCATTGATATCAGGTGTTACAGTTATTTTAAGCAAAGCAAGTCACATTGTAAAAACATAAACAACTATTATAATCAACGACAACGATATACTTGAATAGATAGGCTGGGCTAAGCCTAGGCTACAATAAAACACTAAGAAACCCACGCAATTTATTTTTTTACTCCTATGTTTCGCTATACCATAAAAAATAACTTACTCCATGCAATGGAAATATCATTTGCGGGTAACTTTAACATCTGTTTGAATTCCAACAACTCTTAGGGTAAAAGCTATTGAAAATGGCGCCGGAGTATCATACTCCAAAATGTACCATTTGTTTTATTTCTTTTTAATGGTACAATATAGTGACACGATGATATTTACATATGTTTTCAGCATAACTCTGAAGGTATTAATGAGATCTTTAATATTTTGTATAAAAAATAATGTTGTGACGGGGTAGCTTTAACTGTGAACTACATTAAGAATTTAAGATTCAAATTATATCTTTTAAAAGTACCCTTAGAGAAGAGAACGTCTCAAATCACTTTCCTAAATTATCACAAGCAGTCTGGGAGATCTGGGGTAATGTAAATCTGAGATATAAAAACGACCACTCTTTTCACATTTTTCGGATGATTGTACTGAAATCAACATAAATCAACATGGTGTAAACTCAATATAATATTTCTAATACGTTTTCGTCAAGACGTCTTGGAATGTCACGTGTAGTGTAAATAGGGCTAATATGAACTTATTCGAAATAGCGCACAGACTTCTGTATGAAATTGCCTCTATGGAGTTAGCATCTACCAACTGGGAACACATTTTTTGGGCACCATATGTGTTCACTGTACACATGTTTTACTGTAGTTGCATCAGATAACCCTAACTCTTATTCAAGTAAAGAACAATCTTAAAATTAAATTTTGCATTTTCGTATACCAAGATACACTCCACTTACCCTTTGGAACGACTATAGAGGGACTTTAGAGGGAAGTTGGATTGCAGTACAAACCGAGAAAAAAGCTTTAAGAGTGGTCATATATACATCTAAAAATTGAATTGTCTACTTTTATTACGTTTCATTTTTCAGAATACTTTACGGAAGAGATTATTTTTTATAAAACAAATTAAAAATACCCAATACATCAATATCTCATTAAATGGGCAAATGTACAAGTTAATAGCCCATTCTGTGATTTTTGCTCTGATAAAGAAGAGAATATAGAACATAGATTACTATTTTGTTCTAATTTTGCAGGGGAAAGATCCAAATTTTATAAAATACTTGAGGATAAAATTCCCATAAATTTAACAGGGATATTCTTTAGCGCCCCAACTGACACAAAATTGAAATGGTTACTGGGAGATGAGGCATACATCTTCGGGGGGCACGAATATGGTGTTTTATTCGACTCTTTAGTAAAAAGCTTTTTAAATAAGATTTTAAGTAAATATTAACATACCTATGTTTTAATTCTTTTTAAGACTCATTTTAGTTTGATAAAATGTTGTTTTTAACCAACATGGCATTTTGGATATTTTCGATTAGATGCACCTTAATGTAAGAGTGCCACTGTTAAAAAAGTGTATATCTAAATAAATAAATAAATACGTTCAGAGTTATGCTGAAAAATGTGAATATTATCGTGTCACTATATTGTACCATTAAATTTAAAAGAAATAAAACAAATGGTACATTTTGGAGTATGATACTCCGGCGCCGATTTCAATAGCTTTTACTCTAACCGTTGTTGGACCGAAACATTTGAGTAAAAAAATAAATTGCGTGGATTTCCTTGTGTTTCTATGCAAAATTACACGCTCCGTCACAGCGGACAAATTTTTCGATACCAGCCTGTGTATATGTAACTTACGTATGAGGCTACGTAGACTATTCATCTAAATTTTAGCTGAAGTGGACTCGGTGATTAATTGCCATGTCTGCAACTCCAACTACAATGCATCGTGCGCTACCGTGAGTAAATCATCAACGGATTACTTAGAAGCCTGTCTACCCGGTGAACAATTATGTAGACTGGTAGTCCAGACAGGTAAGTTAATTAGGACCTAAGTTACACCATGGACGTAAACACCATTCTGGTGTGCCAGAGCCCCTCTTATCTGCCGTTTGCGTTTGGAAGGTTAAAGATAACAAGGGACGCGGCTCTCACAATGCCTAAAGACCACGAGTCATATAATATGCTACGACCCCACTTACGTTGTAGCCGTACACTCCAATTGTTCAGGCAGTGTTTCTACAACGTTGGAGAAAGTACTACGCATTGCACATTTAAAATGCCTACCTCGATACATTCCTGATTAGTTTAGGATTCTTTTCACGCACCGAGTGTACGCGTTTATCGGAAGAACGAAGAGTTTTCGTTTTACATTTTTTATTTACTTGACAGATACAGAATAAATTTCAGATTCAGACTGATGATGTCAATATAGAAACATTCTGATGTTCCAATTTTTCTTAGATATTTTTCAGATATCCTCGATATTAGCATTTTTATTAAGTGCAAAGTAAAAAATCTAAAGTAAAACCTGAGTGCTACAGACTATAAATGGCTTGTGATATTCTTTCCAGTTGATGATATTACACAGAGGACAATTCGAGAGTGTGCAGAAACTGGTTCACTTGGTTGTAAAAGAGTAGCAAGTACAATATCTGATTTGGAGGGAATCACGTGCCATTGTAATACAGATGGATGCAACAATGCCCCATACATGAACGCAAACTTGACGGCCATCGTGACAGCCTTCGTTATGTGTATTATTGCTACAAGGCTCCACCATTAATGGCAATCTTGGACAATAGATTTCAAAAAGCAACCAAAAAGAACTAAAAACTATATACATAAATTTGTGGCTTTGAGAAAATTAAACTATGTACAGCCTTTGCTCGTAAATAAACTGGACTTCATATATTTAATGGAGTCTTGGTTTTGATTGTCTGTACGTGTACATGACCATGAGTTTGTATTATTATATACCCCAAATGTATTCTAGATGCTCATTGGCTTATTCATGGCCACATGATATGAAATAGATGAACTAATTCCCTGCAAAGTTCTAAAGCCCTGCTATCAGGGAAGATGAAATGTACTATCACCAATTAGGTCATGTGACCAGTCATTAGTAGGGGTCACACGGTTTGAGATTTCTCGGTTCGGTTCGGTTATTGTATTTCACAGTTCGGTTCGGTTCTGATTGCGGTTCTCACGGGCCTCGTGAAATGAGCAAAAATATATGAAATTGATCCGAAAATCAGAAAACATACTAAGTATGTCACAGTGTTTTATTGTATTCAGTATTGTAAGTATCCAGTTTCACACAATGTTTGTTTGTTTGTTCAGTCTTTTTTCCCTCCCTCCCTCCCAAAATATCTGTGTGTTCACTGTGTTGATCTTCTTGTTTGATGTTCAAGTTTTTTCAACACATAAAATAACTTGTCAACTGTTGGCAAAATTAGCACAGTACTTCACTAAACTGAATAAATGTTTTCTTTAGAAATATAACTTAAGTTCAACACTTTGTCAGGACTCAACATGGATCAAAGGCGAACGTAATACACAGAACGTGACTCGTTCGCAAATTCAATGCATTCGGCGTTCGGCTTTTTACAGTATACTGTTCTATCAACCAATAGGATTGCGCGAAATGTTTAGCGTAGGTCACTTCCGGGTCAATATGCCGGTGAAATTTATCAACATTTTCCTTTTGTTTTTGTTATCTGCCGTCTATATCAGAAGATCGTCGTAAATATCAGGTATGGTTCGCATTATTGCATGATGATTAACGATTCCAGACGATGTTTAGTTAATTGGTATTACACGAAAGCTTGAAATGGAGTTTAATTCCGAGTTTACATTTTTATTTTTCTGAAGTGAAACTGAAAATGTCACGGTTCTTCAAGAACCGCGGTTTTCAAGATTGTGTGCGAGCTAACCGTCGTGGAGGTATGAACCGCGGTAACCGCAAGCCACGGTTAACCGTGTGACCCCTAGTCATTAGTATGTTTTATCTTCCCTGATAGCTGAGATTATAGGACCTGAAGGGCAAAATACCTTTAAATGCCAATAAGAACCTGTCAACATTAAATTAAAAAACTGCTCATTTTGTTTTTGTTTACAGAGGGGTATGGGGCATACAATAAACAATAAGGCGTGCAGCCTTGGGAACATGTCAATGGACAGGATATTCCCTCGGGAAAAATATTTTGCTCTATTTCCCTCAATGGCAGTCACTATTGAATAATACATGCTCAATACAATATTCTGATATACCAGGACGTTAATTAAAATACTAAGGTAGATACCAATGCTTTTTGACACTCAACTTTTTGGCAATTAAAAGTCCCTGCCTGCATTTAGTAGTCATATATTGCCATGTGCATAATTTTGAAACCATATCCTAATTATTTCACAAACCCTTTGTTGATTCTGCAATAGTTTCCAATTTGTAAACATCATTTAACCTTTTTAATTGGGAACTTTTTTGAAATTTCCAAAATGGCTGCCATGTGATTCCAGAATTAACATGAGTGGGACGTGACATCACAGTTGCTCGTTCCTAGGTAACAACAAGATCACAATTGCTGGTTTCTAGGTAGCCACAAAATTTTTGATTAAAATGGCACAGAATTGCCCTGATTAACACCCTTAAAATCCGATTTTCAAAGAATATATTTCTAAACAATAAAAGGTAGGTGGAATAAATTAGAAGATGGTTTCAAGTTACCACAGAAGTCAATTTGAAACTCAAGAATGCTTTCTTTGACTCATAATCACAAAAAAAGTCGAGTGACTTTTTAGATGTCGAAAATCTTAGAATAGGAGACCTACCGATAAAACTAACTTTTTCTCCATTATGTTTATGTTTCATTTTTTAGTTTAGGAAATTCAATTTTGCAAAAATGGTATCCTCGAAAAAACGCTGTTTCTATGGGGATCACGCTCTTTTCGTTAACCCTGATGCGGATAACGTATTTTTCTGACCCCCCCCCCCACCCCCAGCGTTTCCAGAATTGACGAGGGACAGTAAAGACCAAGGTACCATATTATAGGGCATTCAAAACTCTCAAGGGAAGGGTATTGAAATCTCAAAAAGTAGGTCAAATGAAGTCAATAGTAGGTTCCTTTTTCAATTAAAAACAACATAACATTTTGTAAGCCAGTTACCCTACTATCACACCAAACTACGTTCTCGAAAACGGGCTTAAACTGTGCACGAACGGATTTGACGTACTAAGAACCCACTAAGAACCGTTTGGGATCTGTTTACAAACTTCATGAAACTACTAGAACGAGTAGGTCCTCCAGAACTTAGAGCATGCTAAAAAATTTCTGGTGATCGTCAAAACGTTGCCGAATCGGTTTTAAACTGTGTGCGAACTGAATGAACGTAGCTACAACGTTCTACGGTCTGTTTACGAACTTCATGGACTTTCCCGGACGGGGAATGTGATTTAGAATTTTGAATCGATTCAAAATTCGATGGCGACCATACCGTTCTGTAATCAGGTCGTGATGACCTTCTAGACTTAGGGACGCGTTATACGACGTTGCACACCGACGTGGTGCGACCTGAACGAACTGCGAACGAGATTGACGTATTTAAGACTGTTTATGAACGAAGTAGCTAATTATTTTAGACATATTTCCCGACCACAGCCAGATTGAGCCCGTTTTACGACGTTTTCGTAGGACTGGCAAGAACGGGTAAGAACTTGTTTGGGAAAGTCCATGAAGTTCGTAAACAGACCGTAGAACGTTGTAGCAACGTTCATTCCGTTCGCACACAGTTTAAAACCAGTTTTGAAGAACGCAGTGGCAACTTTTTTCTCTAAAATTCAATTGTATGGTTGTAGCCAGAATGTTTCGGGTCAAGATACCAACTACGAAAGAAATGTATCAAAAGGATTAATGCAAATGCCTCTTATATGGACAAAATGTCAACTACGGGGGAGTTTCCTGCCCCTGCGATCTGATTTGTCCATTTAGAATAAGATAAACCATGTAACCAGGTCCATGTATTCCATTCTGACAGAATTTCAGATTCAATTTCAAACTAAGTTTATTATGTTCGAAATCCCGAATGTCCCCGGGAGAATCTCTCTTCGAAATTATAATGTCAGATAGATACAAAATAATATTGATATAACTGAATGACTGACGATACTTAATTTGGCTCCCGTTTTAATTAGACGGATCGACGGATTCAGAAAATCCGCCAAATTAAAATCCGTCAAATTTCAGTTTGGAATTTTTGTCAAATGCACTGCAGAAATTAAACTTCTGTGGCCCTTTCCTGTCAACTGAACATGTCATCAACATGTCATACATTATCCAAAAAGAAATACAGAAAATATCTTAGTAAACACCCGTCCTAATGACATAAACCATGGGCTTTCAAGAGAATCTTTTGATGCATAAACATAGACAAAAATTAAACTTCAGTCCTGATTCCGCCAAATCAAATAGCCGCCAATAGCGGGGTCAGATGTCCTTTTTTGTTCGGCTTTTTCAGGAAAGCAACAAACTTGGCACAGTTGTAGAATCATATGATCTGAAAAATGATTTCAGGGCAAGTGATTTGGGGTGTTCTTCATGGATTTTGTAGCCTCTGACTCCCCGCCCCTACCAGACTGTGAGGGGTATATTATTAAAATTAAATAAAAATGGTTTTAAAGTATTTTTCTTTAAATGACTTCATTTGGTGATTGCTTTGAGCCTTGAAATTGTGTAAAACCCAATAAAGAAGTTGTCTGTAGCAAGAAAAACTCATTTTAACCCAATTATCTAAGAATAATTCGTTGTTTAAAGGGCCAAATACAGGACATCCAGTACTGTATTTCAAGAATGTGATGTCTGATAGTCCTGAAAAAATTCATAGTAGTAAATGTTTAAGCGTTTATCACAGATAGAAAATGTACCATGGGTGGCTTATTTATTTTTTGAGAAAAAAAATTCTCGAAATTTCAATTTTTAAGTGCATGCGGCTCAGGGGTAACCTTATTTTACCTTAGTAAATTTTAAAATATGCAATGTATGCATCTCATATGAGCTCAAAATGATGCATAGAGCATTGCTTTGTCATATTATTCCTAATTAGATGTAAAAAAGATTTTTGAAATTTTTGAATCAAGACATGTAATATATGCATCTCAAATTAGCTCAAAATGGTGCATATAGCTTTGTTTTATCAGATTACCCTTGATTAGATGTAGAAAAATGGTTTGACATTTCTTAAAAATCTAAATTTTCATTTTAGCTTATTGGGGCCCATGGGTGCCATATCTTACCTTAATAATTTTCAAAGTACGAGACTATCAGTTATCACACGTTTCAGCATGTGATACAGGAAATATTCCACGAAAGGTAATACTGTATCATCCACGAAAGCGAAGCTTGAGTGGTGATACATTGTTACCCGAGTGGAATATTTCCTGTATCACATAAGCTGAAACGTGTGATGACGATTTTATCACATGTCTAGGAATTTTGAAGCATTTTGATTTGGTCAGTTATGATTGTGTTCAGTACCCCGTGTACTTCTGTAACTATTATAATTTTTGATTTCGCTTTGAAACAATATGACGTCATACCGTTGTATTTGTACTTGTTTGTGAAATAGTATGACGTCATATTGTTTTCCTTAGCTAGAAGTGATATAATCAGTGACGTCATATCGTTGCTATTGATCATCACTGGTTGCCTCTAGTAACGTGTGAGACGGCCGTGTGAGACGGGAAAACTCACACGGTAATCAACCAATCAGATTACTGGAATTTTACAGAGCATGTGATAAGTATGGATCTCAAATGAGCTTTAAAGGTTTTTTTAATCTTCTTTTCTCATATATTATTCCTAGGGAATGTAAAAAATGTTTGGAAATTTGAAAAAAATGACATTTTCATATTAGGCTATAAGAATTAGATTCTCTGTTTCTCTCTCTCTGTACAAGGAAAACAAACACAAACTCAAGAAAAAAACACAAACTTGTTTGCTGAGAAATATATACATTTTATGACATACCAATTTGCAGTGATACAAACACAGATCTATACATTTTATACAATATATACAGAATATCACATCATTTTGAGTGATATCATTTTTATCGCCGAGTTGATATCAAATATCAACACGAGTGAGCGAAGCGAATGAGTGTTGATATTTCATATCTACGAGGCGATAAAATGATATCACGAGAAATTATGTGA